TTCAACTTTCAATGAATTATTCAATTATTAATTCAATTTAATATTTTCAACATTCATTTGACCACTTTTTTTTTTTAATTATTTTATTTATTATCATAAAATTGAAATTAAAAATAAATTATAATTATTTATTCAACTGTACCCTCATTTTAGGATCGAGAAAAATAATGAAATTTTTTTTAAATATTTGCAAAATAATAATTAAAGTAAATAACAAATTATCATTGATCGCGTAAAGCTACAAAAATAAATTTTTACATAGAGTTCTCTCTATTGTTTTTTTTTCTATAATTATTATTATAATTTTTCCTTTCACTATTTATTTAATATAATAATACCATTTGATGAGAGTTTTTTTAATATTATTATTATTATTATTATTATTTTTCGTGCGCTTTTCTGAAACTAATATTATAGTGAACACAACCAATTGTGATCAGCTGATTAACAATTAAGTGCAAATTACTAACATATTTCCATTATAATTAACTATATAATTGTTAACTATATCATTGTTATTTTAATATATATTTGAGTAGTAATCACAATTCAATTGTCTCAAGTATTTTTTTTTATTTCTTTTGAATAAATTGGAAGCCATAAGAATATTGTTCACTAAACAGAAATACTATAACTGTTAGACACTTTTATACTCATTTTTTACTTATTGATTTTTTGTGGAAATTATGATAAAATTTTTTTTTTTGTAATTTCAAGTGAACTAATAATAATACAAATATCGATCATTTTTTTAATAAGAATTTTTTTCGAGTCACTCTATTAAAAATATTATTTTATCTAATAATCAATCTTTTCTACGTTCCTGCGTTTTCTCAGAAATAAATTGAATATAGGAATAATAAATAAACTTCTTTTGAAGTTTCACTTGCTTATAAATGAAAAAAAAATATATATATATAGAAATGAAAATAAATTAAAATTGAAATTGAATACCTAATAATAAATATTAAATAAATATTTTGTTAATTAAATATAATAAAAAATTAAATTAAATAAAAATAAATTAAATTAAAAATAAATTAAATTAAATTAAATTAAATTAAATCAAATCAAATATTATGTTAATTAAATGTTATATTAATCAAATATCCTATTAATTAAACCTTCCAATAATGAAAAATTCTATAAATTAATTATTAACAACAAATTAAATTAAAAAAAAAAATCGCACTTTTCGAAAGTAATAAAATTTATACGATCGGTGAAATGGATTTTGTCGAAAGCTTAGCGAAATAATAATGTTGGTTAATTTACAATATTATTATAATAAGTCTATCGTTCCTAGAGTCTAACATTTAAATCTATCTTCAATGTGGTCATCATTACAGTGCGATTATTCTTTCTTGTCACAAAAATTCCTTATTTTTACCAAAATTTAATGTGGATTTATAGTTTGATTTGTCACGTTTTGAAAATTATTTTTCATCTTCTTTTTCTTCTTTCTTCTCTTTTTGAAAAAAAATCCCCCTTTCACGGTTGACTATTTTCTTAATTAAAGAAAACAAATCCCTTTTTCCTTTTTTTTATTAGTCACATTTCTCTTGTACATTTCATTAAACATTTTCTTCATTAATAACTTCTTCCATTCCATTTCTTCTTCAAATTTTTTTCCATTAAGAATTTTTTTCATTATCCATTTTATTCATTAATGAATTTTGTTATTAACCATTTTTTGTCTTATTATTGTTTTTTAAAAATTTTTTAAATTATTTCTGCAATAATTTTTTAAATTACTCTTTTAATAGTTTTTTTATTATTTTTTTAATTATTGCCTTTTATTTACCACTTTTCCTGATTAATATTTTTTTCATTATCTATTTTGTTCACTAACGGATTTTTTCATTAACCATTTTTCCATTAGTCACTGACTTTTATTAACTATTTTTTTCATTAATAATTCCTTTCCTAAATCATTTTTCTCATTAATAGTTTTAACTAATTATTCTTCTTATTAATTTTTTCTTCATTAACTATATTTTCAGTGAGTATTTTTCATTAACAATTTTTCATTAACCATTTGTTTCTTCATTATTCACTCCAACTATCGAGGAAAATTTTTTTTCTTCACTAACTTTTCATCTGATTTATGAATAAACTTGTCTCTTGATAATTAATTTCCTTCATTAGAAAAACTTTTTCCATCTTCATTAATTATTCCTTTTTGTTTGATTAAAAAGAATTTGTTTCTCCTCTTCGATTAAAATAACTTTCTTGTTCTTCCTTGTCGAGTTCATTAATAATTAATAAGAAAAAATTTTTCATTTTCACTGATAATCAATAATTATAACTGACAATAGAAAATTCTTTTGGTTAATGACAATAAAATTGAATAGATTAATAAAATTAAAAATATCATGTAAATAATAGTCAGTAAAAATAATAATTATTATTTATATTATTTAACATAATTGTCTCAGATAATAGTCACAAACACTCGTAGAACAAGAAGAAATTTTACCGAAACGAATAATAATTAATTTTTTAAAATAAATTTTTCTAATAAGATAAATAATTTTGTTTTGTTCTATTTTATTTTCTTTCACTCTAAACTTATATTTTCTCCTAAAACTCCTTGTATTTTTTCTCACCTCTCTAAACTCATTTAAATCAATATATTTTACCCGTGTTTCAGAAACAATTCCATGATAACTTTTTTTTTCTTTTCTATCTTTATTCTTTATTTTCATTTACTGCAATGTCACTTGTAACAATTTTCACTCTGTCTTTTAATAGCACAACAATTTCACCTGTCCACTTGTAACAAATTTTCATTCATTTCAATTTGCACGACAAAAATTCCACGCCAGTGATTGTATCAATATTATCTACGTAATTCGGAACAATTCCATTTTTTTGTGTATGTATTTTTTTTTTTTTTTTTAATTTTACCCGTGTTATTTTCAATCAATTCATCCAGTGCTGTTTGTGTGTGTCTTCAATTCCTGAAAATTCTCCTGCTTGAAATCATCATCAGTCAAGTGGTCTCTTGGCAGAAAAACACAGAATTCGAATTCTTTTCAATTCCAGATGTTCAGTTTTGCTTCGGGAATATTTTTTTTAATTCTTAAATTCAAGTTGTGAATAGTTTGGTAGTTTTACAATTTCGTTTTTAAATTTCGCTTCAAGAATTTTTCAACTCCCGATATTTCAGTAGTTTGCTGGTTAAAAACTAAATTTCTAGTTATTACTATCATCGGGAATTTTTCAATTCTTATATTTAAGTGGTTTTCTAGTTTACTTAGTTTTACTAAGTTTGATTTCAGAAATTTTTTAATTCTGAAATTCAAGTAGTTTGGTAGTTCACTTGGTTTTTAATTTTATTTCGGGAATTTTTCACATCTGACATTCAAGTAGTTTGGTAGTTTACTTAGTTTTACCAAGTAAATAGTTTGGTCCAAGTATTTTTCAATTCTAAAATTCAAGTAGTTTGGTAGTTCACTTAGTTTTCAATTTTGTTTCGGAAATTTTTCAATTCAAATTCAAATAATCAAGTAGTTTACTCGGTTTTATCAAGTAAAGAATTTTATTTCAGGAATTTTTCAATTCTGAAATTTAAAGAGTTTAGTAGTTTCCTCTAGTTTTAAAATTTTAATTTAAAATTTTGTTCTAGGATTTTTTTGTAATTCTTAATATTCAAGAAGTTTTGTAGTTTATTTAGTTTTACAACTCTGGTTCATGAATTTTTCAATTCTTGATATTCAAGTAGTTTGGTAGTTTATTTAGTTTCAAATTTTTGTTAAACATTTTATTTCAAATTATTATTCAATTTTAATTTCTATTTCAGTAGTTTTGCAGTTTTACACACAGTATTAAAATTTCGATTCAAATTTTTTTCCAAGCAGATTTTTGTAATTAAAATTAAAAATTTTCTTTTTCAATTAATTTTTAAATCTTCTTTTTCATTAATTAAAGTTCTCTTTTTCAATTTATTTAATTTTTCACTCTTCTTGAATTATTCGAAACTGTTTTCTTGAATTTATTTAGTTTCTCTTTTTCAAGTTCTTCAATTTTCTCTTTTTGAATTCCTTTAATTTTTCTTCTTGAATATTTTTAATTTCTCTTCTTGAATTTTTTTTTAATTTTCTCTATTTGAATTTATTCTATTTTTCTCCTTGAGAATTACTTGAATTTATTTAATTTCTTCTCTTGAATTAATCGAAACTCTTTTCTTGAATTTATTTAGTTTCTCTTCTTGAAGTTCTTCAATTTTCTCATTTTGAATTCCTTCAATTTTTCCTCTTGAATATTTTTAATTTCTCTTTTTAAATTTTTTTCATTTTCTCTATTTGAATTTATTCTATTTTTTTCCTTGAGAATTATTTAAATTTATTTAATTTCTCTTCTTGAATTAATTGAAACTGTCTTCTTGAATTTATTTAGTTTCTCTTCTTGAAGTTTTTTAATTTTCTCTTTTTGAATTCATTCAATTTTTCCTCTTGAATATTTTTAATTTCTCTTCTTGAATTTTTTTTTAATTTTTTCTATTTGAATTTATTTTATTTTTCTCCTTGAGAATTACTTGAATTCATTTAATTTCTTCTCTTGAATTAATCGAAACTGTCTTCTTAAATTTATTAAGTTTCTCTTCTTGAATTTCTTGAATTTTCTCCTTATCAATTCATTTAATTTTTAATCTAGAATTTATTTAGTTTCTCTCATTGAAGTAATTGAATTTTTCTTGATTAAATGTATTTTCTATTCTTGAATTAATTGAATTTATTTAATTTTTCTTCTTGAATATATATTTAATTTCTCTTCTTGAATTATTTGAATTTTTCTCTTCTTCAATTAATGGAATGTATTTAATTTTCCTTCTGGAATTTATTTAATTTCTCTTCTTGAATTTCTTGAATTTGTTTTCAATTCCTTTAATTTTTTTTCTTGAACAATTTTTAATTTCTCTTCTTGAATTAATTTAGTTTCCCTTTCTGAATTAATTTAATTTTTCTTCTTGAATTTATTTAATATCTCTTCTTGAATTTATTTAATTTCTCTTCTTGAATTTATTTAATTTCTCTTCTTGAATTTATTTAATTTCTCTTCCTCAAAATTCAATGATGATGATGATTATGAAAGTGTAGAACAAAAATGAAAATAATCGTTGATTTTACTAAAACAAACTCGGTTTGTCTTTTCTTTTTTTTGTCTTGTTCTTTTTTCTTTTATTTACTAGTTTTGTCTCTTTTCCTTTATTTCCATTTTTTCTTCTTCTTTACCTTCATTTTTTATTTTTATTGTTTCCATTTCTTCTTTTTTTCTTCATTTCCAATTCTTATTTTCCTTTATTTTTATGTTTTTGAATTAAAATTAAAACCTTTTCTTTTCCTCTATTTCCTCTAGTTATTTTCATTTCCCTTCGCCCTTTGCTCCCCCTTCTTCGTCTCCGGCTCTTAATCTCGAACAAAGGCAAACTCGTTGTAATGATTCCAGCGATTTTCCTCTAAATCAACTCCGGGCTTTAACTGTTCAGCACTGCCACCGGCAGTACCCGAGCCACAACTCGCCACCAATTTAAAACCCTGCTCCTGAAGCATATCGAAAGCCTGTTCAATATAGCTGTGCTTGAGGAAAAACCGACTCGTATAACGATCCGAAACACCGTGATCCGGATCACGACTCTCATTCAACGTTTCACCGAAAACATCGCGACATAATTGCACACGTCCACAAACGAGGATCCTCGATATTTTCCGGAATTTCACATCTGCCAAACCATCCCTACCAAATGCGAAACTACCACGATAACCAATGGTAATATAACCACGTTTTGATGATACCAAACTTGTCGCTGTTGCTGCTGCTGCTGTTGTTGTTGTTGTTGCTGCAACAACTGTTGATCCCGAATCATCATGCTCGTTAATAGCCTTCTTCAGTCTCTCGAGACCATAAAAATCCGCCTCCTGCAAAAGTCTATCACGCTCTCGAAAACCCTCGGGCAATACAAGTGCCTGATTCCTCAGGAAATCCAATACATAACGAAATAGAACACCGTCACGATCGAGGAAATATTTCCCCTTCGCGTCCTTTTTTAATTTCAATTTCTCCGTGAATATTGCCGCTAGATTCGAATCAATTTCACTTGTCAATGTTGACAATGTCGTTGTGTAAAAAACACCACCAACGTTTAATTCCACGATACTTGGAATTGCATCCGCGTGCTCTTCATCTGCCATTTTTATCTCTTTTTTTCTCCCACACTTGTTTGCTTTTCGTAATTTGAAAACTTCTTTTTCTTCTTCTTCTTCTTCTTCTTTTTGGTATTTATTTATTTTTTTTTCTTTTCAGTGATTGCGACTTGAAGAGAAGGGGATATGAGGTGTGTGGGGAGGTGTGATAAAAATGAAGAAGATAACTCGTCGCGATCCGGATTTGGACTAGTTTCGGTTGGTGTCCTAGAGGGAGAGGATGAGACGAGAAAAAAGAGGGAGAGCATCAGGAATGGGAATATAGAGAGACATGAAACATGAGCGCAGCGGGTCGCGCAGCTATAGAGGTATTTGATGCAACGCGCGCAACAACTCGACCTCGGATTCGATCCTCTTTCACTTAGGACTTTTCCCCAATTTTTTTTTTTTTTTTTTCTATTTTTCATTCTCTGTTTTCTCGTCTCTTTTCCATACTATTTTTTTTTCCTACTTTTTTTCTCTCTTCATTTTTTCTTCTTTATTCTCAACTTTTACTTAGGTTTTTTTTTCTTTTACTCGCTAGGTATTTTTTCTTATGTTTTCTTCTCTTTTTCTCTCGTTTTTCTTCTGTTTTTCATTTTTTTTAATTTTGTTTATACTTTTTTCCCCCTGTTTTCTGCACTTTTCTCCTGCTTTCTCCATTTTTTCTATATTTTTCGTTTTATTTTCTTCTCCTTTTTTCTTAATCTTCCGTATCACAGTTCTTCTAAGGATATCAAATTGAGACAAAAAAACGAATCAAAATGTTGCTTCGCAACACTTTTGATACGTATTTTGTCTCAATTTGATATTCTTAGAAGAATTGTGTATGTTTTCTTCTATTTTTCTTCTGTTTTTTCATTTTTTCGCTGCTTTCTCCATTTCTTCTATATTTTTCATTCTATTTTCTCCTTTTACTTCTCTTTTGTTCCTCTTGTTTTCTAATTTTCTAAGTTTTTGAAATATTTCCTCCCTTCTACATTTTTTCTATATTTTTCCTTCTATTTTCTTCTTCTATTTCCCTTTTTCCTTTTTATCAGTAAAGTCAGGGAAATGTCAGGAAAAAAATTTATGTCAGGGAAATTAAGAAAATTGAGGATTTTTTCGACTTATTTTAAAAAATTGCGACTTTTTCGACTTTTCTTCCAAACATTTCAAGTATTTATTTACAATTTTTAAAAATCAATTTTTGAAGAATTTTAATTGCAAATTTTGAAAATAATTGAAATATTAGCTTCTAATTGTTAAAAATTCAATATTTTCAGTATTTTCAATTACATATTTCCAAAAATTCAAATACATATATATAAAAATAATAACATTTTAGAATTATTTTTAACATTTTGGAGAATACAATCAAGCTCAAAATTTTTTTAATTAAAATTTAAAGAAAAATTAATTAGTTTTTAAATTATAGGGTAGAGTGGGGTAAAAAAGCCATGGTGTAAAAAAGCCATTTGAGTTTTATTTAAAAACTATTAAGCCGATTTATCAGCTGTTTAGAATATAAATACTATTAGGTAATACGCAACTTTTGAATCCAATTTGAATGTTGTACCTAGATTAATATTGTTTTTATTGTAATTTTAATTTTTTGTTGCTTTTTTGAAAACATTTTGGTGAACTTTTCAAACATATTACAACCTGATTAAGTGAACGAATAATAAAAGTAAATGTTTGAACATAAGGAGAAAAGTATACCGAAAACGTATACAATGTTAATTTTTGGAAATTGAACTGAATTAACAATTTATTTTTGCTTTTTTTAATAACTGGTCTTGGGTGTAAAAAAGCCAGGGCAAAAAATCCATTGAATATTTTGTGAAATTCACTTGTTTTCTATTTAAACTAACCTTCTTATTTTACAAAATTTCTCGTGTTTATTTAATAAAATAAATTAAACACGACGAAAAAGTAGTTCAAAGTGCATTTAAAAAATAAACAATGAATAAACGGTTGCAACGAAATATGTTATCTGTGGTGAAAGTTAAAGAGAACTTCTAAAAAAGGTACGAAAAATTGGCAGTGCAAATCGAAAACAGGTAAACTTAATATAATTTTCAATTTTGCTTGCTAAAAACTCTTTCATAATTATTAAAATATTTTTCAAATAAGACTATTTATCATATAAATAAAGGAAAACTATAAAAATACCTAAATTGATAACATGTTTTGCTAAAATCGTAGGGTGGCTTTTTCACCCCACCAGGTGGTGCAAAAAAGCCACTTGCAGTGCTTTCGTAAAACTCTTATAACTTAGTCCTTTCATGAGATAAAAATTATTTTCGTCAAGAATTTTCAAGCTTAATAACTAAACTTTCAATAGCAATTGGAAATTTGAGAAAAAAATTTTAAATACAGATTTTACAGCATCAAAAATAAAAATGTGGCTTTTTTACCCCACTCTACCCTACCAAATTTTTTTTAAGAAATTCAATTATTTTCGAAAAATTACATTAAAATATTTTTAAAAACTAATTATTAGAATTGTTTTATAATAATTTTTTAAGATTTAATTATCGTCGAACAATGTGAATAAAAGTTTATGAAAATTTATTTAAAAAAAAAAAAAAAAAAAATTATTTAAATTAATTGATTCAGAGATGAAGTTTAGTTGAAAATTGTAAAAAATAATTGAATTTAGGAAGGGTTATAATTGTAATTTTTAGAAATTATTCAAATTCATAAATTTTACCCATTTTCCGTATAAACATTCATATTTTCCTGTAAAAAGAATTTTGTCAGGGAAAGTAATTTTAATGTCAGTAAATTTTCAGGGAAATGTCAGGAAAATTGATAAACTAAAACTTGTGGCCACCCTGAAAATATATAAAAATTTTAAATAATAATATATAATATATAATATACATTATAATAATCGTAAGTTTCCTTTCCGTTAGCAAATTATCTGCATTCATTTGTTTGTTTTGAAAATTAATTTTTGTGGGTTAAGTATTGGCATTTTTTATATTTTTAAATGTCAAATTTTTCAATGTTCATGTTATTATTGTTCAGTGCTGCCAGATTGGAAGAAATATATAGTAAAAACTTGAAGATTGTTTGAAAATTTTGTGAAGGCTGTGTATATATCAAGTAATAATGAAAATATTTATAAACATTTAAATAATATAAATAAACCATTTTTTAAAGATAAATTATCATTTTTGTTCTTTTGTTTTTATGATTATAATAATAAATGTAATAATTATTAATTACTAAAGTATTTGTTACTGTTCCATTTATTATTTTGCATTTAAAAAAATTTTATATTTTCAAATATAAACATTAATTTTTTAATTTCAGATTAACTATATAATTAATTATTCTTGTTTATTATTTTCAAAAATGTTAATAACAGTTTTCGAAAGAATTAAATAATTTTAAAAAAATTTTTAATAAAACATTCTTTGGAAAGAATTGAATTATTTAAAAAAATTTTTTATAAAAATCAAATGACTAATTAAAATTTCCAAATTTTTCAATAAAAACTTTGCAAGAATTTAATCATTTTCAGTGCATTAATTTTTAAAATTAAAAACATTGAAAACTTTTACTTTCAAATTGCGAACAGATTCAAACACAGCAAAATTAATTTATTTCTTTATAATTCTTTGTGAAATTTAATTTCATTTATCATATTCTAGAAAAAATTACAACCAAAATCTGAAGAAAGTTTTTTGACTAATTTAAGGGCATTTGAACCTTGATGACGTTTCAGTTTGTGCAAAGCATGTGTGACGTCATCAAGTTTCAAATGCCCTTAAAGATTTCTGAAGATAAATAAGAAAAGTCTGAAGATTTGTCGTTTTAATCATCTGGCAGAACTGTTATTGTGTTTGATCCAATTTTTAGCTTTATACAACTACTATCATTCACTCTAAAGGTAAATACTTTTCTATAATTTAATGTTAACATTATTTCAATATATTGAAAAAAGTTATTTGATATAATTTACATTCAATTGAATTTTATTTTTATAAATTTCTTAATTACAGAATATTTAGTTTTTTAACTTTTTAATAATTTTTTAACTTACAAAACTCTACATAATGTAATTGTTAAAAATATAATATTTATTTTTCATAATTTAAAATTATTAATTATTAATTACTTTCATAATAATTTAAAATAATTACTATATATTATTAAAGACTACAACATAAATTTAAATTATCAAAGTATATTTTATAAAATAGTAATAAATTTAATACAAGTTTTATTTTTATATTTTTTATTACATAAAAATATTGTCTAATATCATGTTTATTTTATAAACTTTTAACGTGTCTTAATTTTCATGTTTTTAATAAATACGTGATTTATAGAATATTCAACAAATCAATGAAAATATATTGTCAATTTTTTCAATTAAAAATATATTACATCAAATATCTATTCCCAATATTAAAATAATGTTGTCATTAAATTTGGACACATACCTGCCGAGTAAATAATCTCTTATTATATTAAGTTGAAGAACGACCGACCGACCGACCGACCGACCGACCCTAGCCGTATATATATGTATATCTTTTAAAAATAATATTAACACAAATGTATACATATTCACAATGTCACGCATGCGCAGTAGTGTTCTGTCAATGTTACGCATGCGTAGTAGTGTTCTGTCAATGTTACGCATGCGCAGTAGTGTTCTGTCAATGTTACGCATGCGCAGTAGTGTTCTGACAATATTACACATGCGCAGTAGTGTTCTATTAGTGCCACGCATGCGCAGTAGTGTTCTGTCAATATTACACATGCGCAGTAGTGTTCTGTCAATGTTACGCATGCGCAGTAGTGTTCTATTAGTGCCACGCATGCGCAGTAGTGTTCTGTCAATATTACACATGCGCAGTAGTGTTCTGTCAATGTTACGCATGCGCAGTAGTGTTCTATCACTGTTACGCATGCGCAGTAGTGTTCTGTCAATATTACACATGCGCAGTAGTGTTCTATCACTGTTACGCATGCGCAGTAGTGTTCTGTCAATATTACACATGCGCAGTAGTGTTCTAACAATATTACACATGCGCAGTAGTGTTCTATTAGTGCCACGCATGCGCAGTAGTGTTCTGTCAATATTACACATGCGCAGTAGTGTTCTGTCAATATTAGGCATGCGCAGTAGTGTTCTGTCAATATTACGCATGCGCAGTAGTGTTCTGTCAATATTACGCATGCGCAGTAGTGTTCTTTAAATATCAGGCATGCGCAGTAGTGTTCTATGAATATCAGGCATGCGCAGTAGTGTTCTATCAATGTCAGGCATGCGCACTATTGTTCTATGAATGTCAGGCATGCGCAGTAGTGTTCTATCAATGTGAGGAATGCGCAGTAGTGTTCTATGAATATCAGGCATGCGCAGTAGTGTTCTATGAATATCAAGCATGCGCGCATA